CGATCTCAGTATGGAGATCAGGAAGGAAAGGAAGGCTCACCTGAGCTGGAGGGTTATGGCCAGAAAGATAACGTTCCACGAGACGACCTCGCAACATCACTTTCTTAGTCCACTTCTACGGCAAGTCAAGTCTTGCCGTGGCGCGATCCATAACCTCTAAGAGCTCATCATACGCAGGGCAGGAGGATTGAGAAAGCTCAGCCTCAGCTTCTTCGCTCTCTTCATTCATTTCCTGCTCTTCCTGGGCTGGACCCAGCAGAGCACTGGCCTCTGGATCAGATGATGTCAAAGAGAGAACATCATCCTCCAGCGGCTGTCTCTCACCCGCCGCCGATGAGCACGAGAAGGAAAGCCCCTCTCTAAACTCATCGGCCAGGTCCACCTGAGATCCCCACGAGCTCATTCTCCTCCGTGCCTCAGCAGCAGCGGGTCCTGAACCGCAGGGAGCAGATGGCTGCCCCTCTTTACTTGAAAAGAGAGACAAACGAGAACGGAGCTTTTTCATTGGAAGAAGCTCGCAATGCACGCAGACTGCCCCCTCGAGGACATCGCGTGCGTGCTCTTCGCCCAAACAAACAACACATAGATTGTGTGTGTCATCTGGTGTCAAATAGTGATGACACGGAAGCGCACACCTTCTAAATGCTCTGCTAGTGCTCGCCATAATAAATAGAGATAGCTCTTACTTCTTTTTCCCTTGGAAATGCACGCTTCAAACAGAACAGTCAATGAAGACGAAGAAGAGAATGATGTGTGCTCCCGGCGCTTATTTATACTATAGTCGCACCGGTAGCGACGTCATGGCTGTCGCCGGCCAACGAGTTGGTGTTTTTTCAATGTATGCTTCAGACATGGGTCACGACGAGGCGTTCCCCATAGCGCCCCCTAGAGGACGCAGTTCGAAGTTCCCATGAAAGGGAACCATAATTTCTTTTCGACTGAAGAAAGACAGACATAAACATCTGGATGACATGGTGGTGAGTAAATTATCAGGAATTTTTTATTCTGGAAGTGAACTGATCCTTTAAGGCCCTGTGTCATGCGTGAGAGGCTGCAAAAGATGTGAGTGCAATGGTCAACTGTGCCATTCTAGAGCATGTTTAAATAGAAAAACAGTGCAATGGAATACAAAAAAAGCATGCTCTGTGTTAACAGCAATGCATTTAAAATCACAAGATTCAATGCAGAGGAATTTTATAACAGAAACGCAAAGACGAGTTCTGTACGACCTAGGCCTTTAGTTTCAGTTCTCAAATTTGATTCGCTGAGCGGTGTTCCAAGTGAGCTGATGTTTACTTCAACACTGACGCTTTTCTTTGTATGTATAGCTCCACATTTAGGCTGCCACTCTTGTTTGATGGAGATATTTACTGACTCTTTCTGCAAGTTACATTGACGCGCCAGTAGGTGGTGACGAGTTCTTATTATGAGTGAACGGCTGAATAATTTATCCAACTGATTCATTCCAAAACATTGATTCACTCAGGAACAAAACAAGTAATAAGCAAGTCACTGAAACATTCACTGAAACGATTAATTCAAGAACACTGATTTATTCAAGAATGAACCCCACTAGTGTGTATTTGCTTGGTGTTGTTCATTAATTCTGCTGTGGTAGAGCTGTTCATTAGTAGAGCAAATTAGATGAAATAACTGTGTGTAAAATATAAGTTAATTTATATTAACTGCTTGTTTATGGAATTGCTGTAGGCTTATAAAAGTAATATCACAGTCACAATGGTTTTCACATCTGAACCACAGCTCTGATGATATATTGAACAACACCACTCTTTATTTTTATGTTGCTGCTTAATTATAGCCTGCTATTTCATCAATTACCTTTTTACATATAGAGAGATATAAAGAAGAGAAGATGGCTCATTCAAAAAAAAAAAAAAAGATTGGAAAAAATTGAAACACACCAGCAACCGGCAGTAGGAATAGAAGTCCCACTTCTCCGTTAAATGAGCTGATTGCCTTTTTTTGACAAATAGTTTTGGAGAATTGTTTTTTCCCAATTTAAGTAGATAGGAGCTGTACACTACTCGAAATGCCTGCTGTCTAGAAATGATCTGCTGGGAGAGTTGCCAAGATGGTCGTTAAGTGAACGGCCTTGTGTTAAAGAGACTTTGTTAGAGGTGACACACAATTACAGGGAGAATAAGAGGTATGTTTTTGGAAGTGACCTGAACCAGATTTCACTTACCCATCAGGCCACATCTACAACATACAAATTATTATAATCAGCAATGATCCCTCAATTGTAATGATCCTTCAATTACAACAACAATCAAAAAATTAACCAGCACAGGAACAAACAAATTCCCGCAGGATGCACCTCAGCTGATCCCGGAAGCACTCAGCAGATAAATAGAATATGAGTAATGCCTGCAGGTCACGTAAGCTCTGTTTCTCTCAGCCAGAGCCAGAGTGTCAGATGCTGTTACTTAAAGCATCGCTGAAATTCAGCACACGTCCAGAGCAAAGGGATGGAGACACAATCATTCCAGCAAAAGTCTTATGATTAAGGAGCTCTCCCTCAGTCATGAAACCCCTTGTGTCTCGTTCAGTGCGGCTATATGTTCCTCTCTGTGCCTTTCAGTAGCCCCAGGGAGGGACTAGCCCTAGGGAGCGCTGGGACTTTTCCAGATGGAGTTGGTCTGAGGTCTGGCAATGTCAAAGTCAAATTTTAGGGATGCATGATACATCAGCTATATAAGAGCAATATATAAAATCAGCTATTTATAACCATTTCGGTTATTGATCAATATTACAGATTATCAGCCAAAATTCAATATATATTGTCTGATATTGTATTGTATCTAAATGTGCTTGCTAATTTCCTCTATTGTTGCATTTGTATAAATTTCAAAAACTTAAAGTTAATATTTAAAACACTAATAATTTAATACCACAATTAAATGTAATATTTTGAAAATCTCAGAATGAATATCAAATTTTTAATACTCTAAAAAGTTGTGATGTTACAAAATATATATTTTTTTTTAATCTGTTCTTTTGAACTTTCTATTTCTCAAAGAATCACAATTCCACAAAAAAATTAAAGCAGCACAGCTGTTTTCAACATTAATAATAATAAGTTTTTTTGAGCACCAAGGCTGCATTTTAGAAGGAATTCCGGAGGATCATGTGACACTAAAACTGGAGTAAATGCTGCTGAAAATTCAGCTTTGCCATCAAAGGAATAAATTAAATTTTAAAATATATTAAAACAGTTTATTCAAATCATAATAATATTTCACAATATTACTGGGTCATTCCACGAAATCGGTGCCTTTTGAATAGTCAAACAGATTTAATATAACAACAAATAAATGTGCAATATTACAATACAATACCATGTATGCTTTCATCAATATTGCATCAAAAAAAGTCAATTAAATATTATGTTAAATAATTGAAATAGCATTTATGCTGGTAAGGGTAAGGTTTTTGGCCTGTCCCTCACTATGATTTTTCTTTTTCAGCAGGATTTTTAATT